CTGTGCTTATTCCTGATTTCCATGCTCACTGTGTCTTTTTTGTTTATTTTTATTTTGCACAGCTTCCCACTGCCACAGGGCAGGGTCAGGCCCTGGCACAGGTGCCCAGAGCAGCTGTGGCACCCCTGGGTCCCTGGCAGTGTCCAAAGCCAAGCTAGAGCCTTGCTCCTGGCCTTGGAGCACCTGGGACAGTGGGAGGTGTCCCTGCCCATGGCAGGGTGGAACAAGCTTTAATGTCCCTTCTCATGCAGACCATTCTGGAATTCTGTGGTTCTGTGGTTCCCCCATTCAGCACCCTGATCAGCAGCAGGATCAATTGCAGCAGGTAAGAAAGACAAGGCTGGTTGGTGAGGGTCGTTTGTCCCTGGCAAATTCCAGTTGTCACTGGATTTAGGCACAGTGGTGATGGCACAGGGCTGGCAGACACTGAGCTCTCCTGGCTGCTTGTGAGCATTTCAGTCTCTCAGTGTCCCCTGCCCTGGATTTCAGGGGTTTTTGGGGTTTTATTTTCAGATTTCCCTGTGTGTGGGAAGCTGCCCTCGCTCTGTGACCCTCCCCTTTCCCCCTGCAGTGCACAGCCCAGCCCAGCAGGTACCCTGGGTGCCTGGGGACACCCAGGAGGGTGCAGAAGGGACAAGTCAGGCTCAGACAGGGACTGTCTCAGCCTGCACTGCTCCTTTGAAGTGAGCAGCATCCCTGGGAGCTGTGTCTGTGCTGCCACCAGCGAGCAGCACGGTACAAGCCAGATAAATCATTCCTGCACTGAGGGGATCAAAGAGGGGAAGCGGAGATCTCCTGACACCTCCAGGGGTGCTTTTATTGAGGTTAGGATACAAAATCCGGGGCTGTGTGGGGAAATACCAAACCCCTGTGAACCGTGGAAATACCAAACCCTTCTGTGCTGCAGCGAGGTCGGGTCCTGCCCCGTGCCCTGCCCCTGTGCCCACCCAGCACGGATGGCAGCAGGGCCAGAGTGGGCACAGCTGTCCTGTGACGGTGTTCACAGGGGCCCAGAAGGCTGATCTATTATCTTATGATATACATTACATTAAAACTATACTAAAAGAATAGAAGAAAATGTTCTCCTCAGAAGGCTGGCTAAGCTAAGAATAGAAAGGAGTGATAACAAAGGCAGCTGTCTCAGACTCTCTGTCCGAGCCAGCTGACTGTGATTGGCCATTAATTAGAAACAACCCCATGAGACCAATCCCAGATGCACCTGTTGCATTCCACAGCAGCAGATAACCATTGTTTGCATTTTGTTCCTGAGGCCTCCCAGCTTCTCAGGAGGAAAAATCCTAAGGAAAGGATTTTCATAAAAGATGTCTGTGACACTGTCCCAGGCCGGTGCCAGGCACAGCCCTCCATGGAACACACACCCTGCCTGGCACCGAGAGGGGCACACGGAACGCCTGGGGCCGGCTGTTCCCATTCCAGCACCTGGTTCTGAGCTGGTGGTGGTCCCACAGCTCCCGTCCCACCCAGCTCTGTGCCAGCTGGCAGTGTCCCACCAGCCCTGGTTCCAGCTGGGTTCCAGAACTCCAGCGTTTGGACGCTTCTGTGCTTTCAATACCCTGGGAATGACACCAAATCCTTGGCAATGTTAAAAATACACATTTATTACTCCACATGTGCAATGGCTTCCGACAGTATCTGCAAAAACACAGCCTTGTCATAACTTAAATATTCTGTGATGTGGTAAAATTGTCATGCAAGAAAATTACAGGAATGTATTAACATAAAATACAATGATATATTTACATATATCTGCACTGAAATAATTTTTAAAAATACCCTCTCAAGGCAGCAGGATTTCAGTCCAGGGTCAAGTCCATATTACTGGTATTTTTGCTATTATTTTATTACTCTTAAACTCTTTTGGCAAGCTCTGGAGTAATAGAGAATTGGCAACAGAAGAAATATCAGGACCTGACCTGCCATTTGTCTTATGCACAAAATTCCCAGTGAAGGCTGTGGAATTCAATGCAAACACTTAAAAATATGCAACTTTGCAAAACTTTGTAACACAACAGAGATAAGAAAACAATCTCATGGCAAGTGATTAAAGGAGAATAATTCATAGGTGCTGTAGACTTTTCACAGCAGATAATGGCACACACTGTATAAATCTGTCATACAAAAAATACAGGTATTTAAATATTTATGTACAGAAAATTCCTGTGTTCTGGCTGTGGTGGAGGTGCAGCCCAGAGCTGTTGGTGACACCTGCCAAGCTGGGACGTGGGACCAGGGCTCTGTCACGAGTTCACTGTGAGGTTGGCTCAGCAGCAGCAGCAGCAGCAGCCAGGGCTCAGCCAGAACAAGGGCACCACCACGGGCACCACCACGGGCACCACCACGGGCACCACAGCCATGCCCAGCCCAGCCTGTGCCAGGGCCAGGGAACACCCACGGGAGTGGCACAGGGAGCAGAGGGGATCAGAGCCCAGGACTGCATTGTGGATGGGGTTAGCCAGACGTGGGGCACCATGGCAGGAGCCACAGAGATGTGCAGGGCCAACAGGACTGAGCTGGGCTCAGCTGGCACTGGCTCGCACAGGGACACGGCAATGGGGACACAGGGGGGGCCCAGAGAGGGGCACGGGGGGCAGGAGCACTGAAACCTCCACAGGGGTTCTGACAATAACACTGAGCTGCTGTCACTGATGTTCCTGTCACTTGTCCCTTTTCCAATTGCTCTTTTCGTGCCATTTCTACTGCAGGGACTGAGTGCAAACAGGTGGCAATGAAACCTTGTCCCCCACGGGCTCTGGTGAGTTATGCCCAAATATTATTTACAACCAAAACCAAGCACTCCAGCGCTGTGTCCACAGTGTCGCTCCCAGCCAGCACAGTGACCCACAGCTCTGTGTCCTGGTGCTGCTCTCAGGGACTCAGGTCCGAGTGTCCCCAGCACATCCCAGGGATGCACTGCTGGGTTCCGGGGTGCTGCCCAGGCAGCCAGGACCCACCCAGAGTGTTTCCCCTGGGCAGGAGCCATTCCCTGGCATCCCCAGAAGCCCTCCTGGTTTGTGCCAGGTGCTGCTGTGTGGCACAATGCCCTGGAGCAGGGGAGTGCTGCAAGGGGAACGGGTGAGTGACAGAGAGAGGGCTTGGGCTGAGCAGGCTCAGTTTGAGAAGCAAGCCAGCTCCTCCCCACACACACCAACCCCCACCACACCTGTCTCTTGTCCTAAGGAAGCAATGAAAACATCGATTACACACGTCCTGTAACTGCCAACACCTCTCCTGGCCTGACAGCTTCTGGCTGAAGAGGATGTATCTTCATCACTCATCTGTGGGATGGTTTGGTCAAAAAATCAGCACTGCTCCTTGTCATTCCTATAGTCCAAAATTTTGCTGTTATTTACAGGAAGTTTCCAAATAGTGCAACGGAATTCACTGTAAAACCCTACCCACAGTGCTGGAGTAAATCACCTGCAATTCATAACTGGCTCTGCCCTGAAAATAACCATGCAACTGCAGCCAGAGCTGCAGCTCCCCTCCTCCTGCACAGCCCTAAAGAGTTCACTGAAAACACATCTCTGCACAAGTGCAGCCACACACTGATTCCCACATAAAACTGTGGGAGACACACACGCTGTGCCCTTGCCTGTGGAAGATCATTTTGTCCCATTCTGCCTTTCTGGTTTGTTCATGGAAACAGAAACCGCAGCAAAACTGGTGCTGCCAGAACCTGATCTGTTAAAAACACCTCCCATGCGTTTCTGCATTAGGAATGCCCAGCAGGGGTGCAAACACTGCAGCCTGCAGTGCCTGGCACACACAGCTGCTGATGGCTGATGGTGACTGTGGTCCCACCGCACACCTGGAGCAGTCCTGCGGCACTGCAGGGCTTGGGGGCACAGCAACCAAAACACCTCCCTCTGCAGCAGTGAAGGCCCTGCAACACCCACAGCTGGAGCAAGGGAAGATTTCCTGTCTTAGTAAGAAAGTTAAGACAGGTATTGGCAAATTATATACAGTACTTGTACTTTACACTGAAAATAAAGTAAATCGAAGGGTGAAATACAATATTCCTGTCTTTCATAACCAAGCAGCCTTGCAAGGCCACCCACTCTGCCTCCAACAAAACCTCAGCCTGTGATAAACTGTGTCCTCTGAGCCTGGGCACATGGAGCCAGAGCCTCCAACCCATCCCACAGCTCCTCACTGCCTGCAGCAGACACAACAAGGAAGAAAACATTTTAAATGCATCTCAAATACACATCGAACCATTACCCAGCCCCTGAAGAATCCATGGAGTGCACACAAAACATTAATTTGCCTTGAATCTGAAGGAACTGACAGGTGACACAGGGACAAGGAGGTGCCTGGGACATCCTTGTGCTGCAGGGCCCAAGCAGCTGCAGGCTCCCAGGAGCTGGTGCCAGAGCCCCGGGGCTGCTCTGGTTTGCACAGGGATTGCCCATCCCCAGAGCAGCATTTGTGAACAGGGAGTGCCAAAGCCAAGCTCACACCACCTCTTTGGCCTTCCTCCCTGCTCCTTGTCTCTCCCCGTGGGGCCCAAGGACATGGCTTTGTTCCCTGTCCTCTCACTGCATTAAAAACATGTGGATCAGCAACCTGACACAAAACCAGAAAGACGAAATAAGTTGATCTCCTCCTGACAAGTTGCATAGGCCGTATCCTCCCCAGCAGGCAGCCATGGTGCGGGGCAGTCCTGTGGCAATCTGGCTCCTGGCCTGGCCATCCGCGGCCCGGGCAGTCCTGTGTGAATCTGGCGTGCTGCAGTCTCAGGGCAGCTGCCGGTGCTGTCCGGCGGGCTCGGGTGCTCGGCGCACCTGAGGGCAGTGAGGGCGGCGGCCAGCCCCGGCCTAGCTGCTGCCCGAGGAGCACACGGAGCTGCACATGTGCAGGGGCTCGGCCTCGGCCTCCTCGGTGGTCTCGGAGGCAGACACGGACTCGCTGGGCTGCTCCTGGCTCCTCTTTAGCCTGTGGGAGGCAGGAACAGGAGTTACAGAGCTGTCCCCAGGCTGTCCCCCACTCCCCGCTCGAGAGGCGCCTATGGCACAGCCACGGAGAATGGAGTCCTCCCAGAGCTCACACGCGGGTCATGGCAGAGCCCAGAGTACCAGCAAACCACACTGACCTGCTCTGAAATGCCCCAAAACAGCCTGCAGGGCTTCAGCCCACCCAGACCTCGGCCATGGGTGCCCTCAGCACAGGCAGGCTCCTGCCAAGCCCTCCTGCACAGAGCCTGCCCCACGCTCTGCTCACAGACCCAACAGCCCCAGCCCTGGGGAAGCCGTGGCTTTAATCCAGCATTTCACTGCCTGCTGATTCCCACCAGGGACTGCTCCAACCTGAATGATCTTACAAATCTATTCTATGTGTTAAAGATCTCCACAGTCATTGAGTCCAACCTTCCTTGCCTTCATTTCCCAAAACATCATCTGCTGAAAGCAGGATGGGTGAGCAGGTGCCACGGGGGAACGGAGGCAGTGTCACTCACACGTGTTAAATCCCAGAAGTCTCTCCACAGCATATTTTATTTAATGGCACTCAATAATCCTTGATCTTGCCTCCCACTGTGGCTGGAGCCATTTTTCACACACAGGCAGACCTGAGCTCCTCTGCTGGCACCAGTCACCTGGGGCTAAGCCAGCAGCAAGGTGCTCCTGGCTGTCAGCCACTGGCACTGATTCCTAAGGGAAGTTAGAAAAAGGAATATTTTTCCATAAAAAAACACCCCACACACTCACTTCTCTCTGTTGAAGATGACAAAGTCCTGCTGGATAGCTTCAAGGCATTCCTGGAGATAGTCATTTTCCTATTGAAGAAAAACAAAACATGCATAAGCAGCCCCATCTGCATCTGACTGCTGCCTGCAGCCCCCAGCACTCCCAGCTGTGTGCAGGAGCCTCCAGCTGTGGGCAGGAGCCCCTGCACCCCTGAACCTCAGCCCAACAGCTGGAGGCAGCAGGGCTGGTGCCTGGCTTTCACCAGGGGCTGGTGCCATCCATGGCAGCAGCTTTCCATAAAACACAGATCACACCATTCCTGACATAAACATAACTCATTTCTCCATGTATCCTGCATTTTGGGAGTGCTGTCAGCCCAAAGGGAGCTCAGGGAGAGCCCAGCACACAGCCCACGTGTGGGAGTCCCTGCCAAGGCACCCAGGGAGCTGCTGCCTTGTGCCCAGCCTGGGGCTGGCCAGGGACAGAGGCTGAACACACCAGACCTTTGCTGCTCATCTCACTTCCCAAAGTACCCACTACTGTGAAAGTCTGATCAAACTCCCATAAGAGGATACGTGGTTGTTGGAATGACTCCCTGGGCAAATGTTTTCATCCAAACAAACCCATGGCTCCCGCAGTGTGGCAGTCACAGCTGCAACACCCGCCCAGATCCAGCCTCTCCCAGCTGCACGTTACCCCAGGGAGCACATACAGACTGCGAGCTGTCTTTGCTGTTATCCCTTGACTTGTTCTTGGCGAGCCTCTTCTTCTTCTTGTGCAGGGGCCGTGACTCCAGGATCATCTCCTCCAGCTCGAAGGTGGGGTCGCAGTGCAGGCGGCCCTTCTGCCAGGACAGGGGACACACTGAGGTGAGGCACAGCAGAGACCCGGGGCCCCCTGCCCCTCAGCAAAGCCCTGCTCTCACAGTGGCTGCTGCAGCGCGAGGAGCAGCCCCTGCTCGCACAGCACAGGTGCCCACTCACGTTGGGGACGAAGGCCGGCTCCACGCGCTTCTCGCTCACGTCGCTCCACACCACGCCCGAGAGCTGGGCCGAGGCCTGGATGTGCGCCAGGCAGGAGAAGCGGTGCTCGGGATTCACCGTCAGCAGCTGGGGAGGGAAAAGCACTGCTGAGACAGCGCTGCAGAGAGCAGCATCCCTGCCAGAGGAGGGAGGCAAGGCAGCCAGCAGCAGCCTGCATGGCCAGCTGCAGGGCCCAGCCACGCCAAGGAGCCTTTCTGCTGGGGCAAATAGAGAACTCACTGCAGGAAAAACACCCAAGAAAACGTTCTGCAGGCACCCCAGCGCTTGGGGGGGACATGGGGGTCCCCTCCCGGCTGAGGGGGCTGCTGGCACATTCCTGGTGAGGATGGATTCCCTGGCAGCCCGGCTGCCCAGCAGATGGCAATGCAAACCCACCGAATGCACTGCCACAGCCTCTGCCAGCAGCTCCTCATTAAACTGAATCTAATTATGCAAATTGCCCACCCAACATTAACTCATATCAGAGGCACTCATTTGCTGCCGGCAGCAGCTGCATCTTTCCTACAACAAACTCACCAGCTACTTTTCAGAGTTCTCAAGCAAGCCAGAGCTAAACCAGCTGCGCAACACATCCCAGCTTTCTGCAGCAGCAGCACGAGGAAAGCTGCAGAGCATTCCACAGAGCTGGAACCCCCAGCAGCTCCCACAGCCCTGTCAGACCCTTAAGCCCCAAAGAACAAGTGAGAGGGAGCAGCCAGTGCTGCAGTGCAGCTCCACCTCAGCTGCCATCCCAGCCAGAGGTGCTGCCTTTACAGGTGACACTGACCATGGAGAGGATGGGATGCTGGAAGGCACAATTCTAGCCCAGCTGGGAATCTGACTGTCACACCAAAACCAGACTTTTTGATCCCCTTGCTATCAAACATCATGCATCTTATTACAAGGATAATAAACACACAGCACACATAACTAATCATAGGGTCCCAGACTGGACTGGGCTGGAAGCTCACCTTGCCATGGCAGGGACACCTCCCACTGTCCCAGGTGCTCCCAGCCCCAATGTCCAGCCTGGCCTTGGGCACTGCCAGGGATCCAGGGGCAGCCACAGCAACAATTCCCAATTCCCAATATCCCATCCATCCCTGCCCTCTGGTTCTGGGAGCCATTCCCTGTGTGCTGTCTCTCTATGCCTTGTTCCCAGTCCGTCCCCAGCTTCTCCTGGAGCCTCTTTAAGCACTGGAAGGGGCTTTAAGAGAAGCTCCCTGGAGCTTCTCTTCTCAAGGCTTAACATCCCTAACTTTCCCAGCCTGTATTTTGTAAATTACTATAATTACTCTTATTATTCATTGTTTATTAAAACGCTGATAATTCTCCAGCTAGTCCTGCCTGCACAGCAGCTGCCATCCAACCCAAAGCCACCCCAGAAGGACAATCCATCCAGCAATCGATGCAGCTCCACCCCAGCAGGGCCCTCACCTTGCGCAGCAGCGCGACCATTTCCTTGGACCAGGCTGAGGAGTACTGCACGCTGACGGTGCTGAAGAGCTGCACCAGGGACTCCACGGGGTTGTTGGAGTGGATGTCGTACGGCCTCTGGGGACAAGAGCACAAGGGTGAGGCGTGCCCTGTCCCTCTGGGCCAGCCAGAGCACACATCCAGGGCCGGGACGGCCGGAGCCCTACCCAGCCCCGCAGCAGCTCGTAGGCCATGATGCCCAGGGACCACCAGTCCACCTCGAAGGAATAGCCCGTCCCGCCGCTCAGGAAGGAGTGGAAAATCTCTGGGGCTGAGCAGAAAGGCACAACACACAACAGGTTATTCATCGCTCTCTACTGCAGTAGCTCATGTCAGTCAGTGCACAGCGCTTAGGGTGATCTTCCTGCACGGCTGCCCCAGGGCAGGCTGTGTGAGGCAGGGGAGCAGCAGCCGTGTGCCTGTCCTCACTGGGAACTGGGATGGCAGCCACCTGCAAGGACAGCCCTCCCTCCCAGCACAGGACAGCACAACCGTGGGCCCCAGGAGACACCGAGTGCAAGGCTGGAGCCAGAGAGGGATGGGGAGCGCAGGAGGAGGAGGCTGGATGGGATGAGGAGGGCAGGGCAGGATGGAGGGGACTGGACAGGATGTAATGCAGAAGGCAGGACGGGATGGGACGGGACAGGACGGGATGGGATGGGATGGGATGGGATGGGATGGGATGGGATGGGATGGGATGGGATGGAACGGGACAGGATGGGATGGAATGGAACGGGACAGGATGGGATGGGGTGACATGCCAGCCCCAATGCCTTCTCATTGGGAGTTCCCCTTCTCACACAATTGGGCTCTGCTGAAGCACTTGGACACGAGCACCAATGTCCTAAATTAACTGGAGGGCCCTGGCTGGGGCAGCGTGTGCTGAGCACACAGAACACGACACAGGCACCAGGGCAGTGATTGTCTCTTACCCATGTATGGCTTTGTCCCAGCCAATGCTGTCGCTCTTTCCCCGTCCCTAATGATGGTTGCAATATTAAAATCTGTTAAATGGGCATGACCTTAAATAAAGACACATTTTAAGAAGGAATTAATGGCAGTGCAGTGTCAATGCAGAGTCAGAACACATTTTTTCATAAGCTTCTGCCCTCAGACAGGGTAGCACAGACACGGGCAGGTCAAGGTCAGATCCCATGGATCCCAAAGGTTTCCCAGGATTTGGGCTGGCCAGTGATTAAAGGGTAGGCAGCTTTGGGTTTTGATTTTGAATCACACTTGGAGTTAGCCAGCAACCCCCAGCAGCTTCAGCACTGGCCAAATTGCCCTGGCCAGAAGCTACAGGAGTGAAAAAGACACCAGGGAAACACAACACTATCACAGAACCACAGAATGCTTGGGTTGGAAAGGACTAAAAGATCATCTTGTTCCAAGCTCCTGCCATGGAGCTTCCACTAGACATGGGTGCTCCAAGCCACTGAAACCATTGAACTGCAGTGACTCCAAATTCCCAGGGCTGAAGTTGGGCTGACCACAACACACTGGACAGGCCAGTTGGGTGACCCTCTCCACATTAAAAAGCACAGGGATGTTCAGGCAAACATGATCCAGTAAAAGCAGAGCAGCTTTTCCCACACTTTCCCCAGGTAAAAAGATATCCAATACTTGGGACAGAATCTGTCCCTGGAATGAATGAGGGAGCAAACAAAGAGGAGCAGATTGATCCTACCTTGTTCATCGAGGAGGATGTTGTCTGGTTTTACATCTCTGGGAAAAGAAGGAAGATTACAGCAGATGGAATCTCAGTCAGACCAGGGATGAGACTCAATGACTAAAATCCTGCAATTGTTTATCTATCAAAAATTAGGAACAAATTAAACAAAAATATTCTAACACGAGGCAAGCCCGTTCATGATGGACTAGAAATAAGCATTTCCTGGGCAACTTGGTGAAAAACTGGAAGGATTAGACTTGTTTAGAAAGGAAAGAAATTCCCAAGGAAAAGGAATAATAACACTGGGGATATTTGTGTGAAGCCCTGGATGGCTTTAACAGCTGCCCTGAAATGTTCAGTGCCCAGTGAAGCATCAGACTCCCTCTGGGTGGTGGAGGCAGGACCAGCAGCCAAGGGGGATCAGGAGCAGCACCATGAGCCAGCCCAGGCCAGCAGGGCTGTGGAGTTACCTGTGGATGATGTGCTGGCTCCGCAGGTAGTCGAGGGCCAGCGCCATCTCACAGATGTACAGTTTGACTGTCTCCTCAGTGAACTGCACGTTCTGCTGCAGGTGGTAGCGCAGGTCACCTCCCAGGAGCAGGTCCACCACCATGAACATGTCCTCCTCGTCCTGGAAGGAATACCTGCAGCACAGGGCAGTGGCTGAGCCTCCCAGGGCTTACAAACCCAGCCAGGTTTTTCTCCTCTCCTCATCGCACAGCTCCAGGGACAACTGCACGTGGCCCCACCAAGGGCACAGAATCCCAGAATCGTTTGTGCTGAAAAAGCTCTTTCAGACCTTCGATTCCAACCATTTCCAGCCCTGCCAAGGCCACCACTGCCCATGTTCCCAGCTGCCACAACCACATGGCTTTTAAATCCCTCCAGCTCCCTCAGCCCCTCCTGGGGCTCCAGCCCCTTCCCAGCTCTGTTCCCTGCCCTGGACACACTCCAGCCCCTCAAGGTCCTTGCAGTGTTGGCCCCAAAACTGAAGATGCAGCTTTGCTGCTTGCACCTTCACAATCAAGTAGGTCCAGCTCAAGATGCTTGCTTGTTTTTAAATCAATTCCTACACTAAGCAATGTTTCCCTGAAAGAGATGAGTATCCCAGGTAATGTCCCCCTGCTCACCCTGTCACTGTCCCTGAGCAGCTGTGCCATGTCAGCCCACCAGCACAGAGCTCAGGCTCTGCCAGCCAGACACTTCAGGGAAACTTCACATTTTCAACTGCAAACAATCTCATGAAACCTTCTTAAAATATCTCAGCCTATCTTAAAGATGAATTGGAAAACACAACTGCTAATTTAACCAGATAAACCAGGAAAAGAGATTTATATTTACTGCGGAGTAAACCGCCTCTCTAAATCTGCTGTGGGTCCCACGGGAGACTGACAGCAGTGGGGATACACCAAACAACGCTCATTGTTATATTTGGTGACTGCACTTCCAAGGAAAGAGTATGTGGGATTGTATAATACTTATGAATCATTCACTTCTGCTCCCATCTTAAATGTAGGTTTATTCTAAAACTATGAGACCAAAGGGTTCGCTACGAGAAGAAGTTCTCTCCAGAATTTCATTGCTTGTCGGGAAAAACATTTGCAATTGCTAAGAAACCAAAAAATATCAATATTAACTCAATTGGCTATTCTGGAGCAATGGATCAACAAAACAAATGTGACACATCACCCACTTCCATCACTTTGGGTATAAAACTTCCTCAATTTTTAGAAGTCTTCCCCTCCCCACCAGGCTGGTTCACATCCAGCACTGCAGGAGGGGAGGGGGCCCTTCACTGGGCAGGAAGGCTGAGAAAGGACAGATCACTGGAGCAGGGGGTCCCAAGGCCTCTGCCTAGGGCTCACCCCAAACTAACCAATGACACTGGGATATAATGCTCTGCTTTCTAAAACTGTAAATTAGTTTTTCCTGGAAAATTTGATAATGATGTGTCTGAGCTCCAAAGAAATGTGTTTGATTTGGCCAGTGAGTGTGATGCAAAGCACACCAAGGGATGCTGGTGGGCTTAGGGGTCGATGTGATTGTAGGGCAGATGAGACAGACTGCAGCCTTTGGCACTGCCTAGACAGGACACTTTTCCCAGGCATTGCCAACTCAAGCTATTTGCTGGATTTCAACCTGATTTTAAGATTGTTTTTTAAAATTAGATGTCGCTCAGTAATGAGGATATTTCTGCCAGTGCACACAGAGTGAAGTCATTATTGAGCAACTTGAAATGCCAGTGTTTGTAGTGATCTGCTGCTGAAAAAGTTATGAGAGCCCCTGGGATTATCGGGTGCGTGGCTGTGCGAGGCTGGGGAGGGGATGGGGAGGGAGCTGCTCACCAGAGATTGACCAGGAACACGTGCTCGATCTCCTGCAGGATCTCCAGCTCTCGGAACACGTTGCGCACCTCATCTCTCTCGATGCACTGCTGCTTGTTCATGTACTTCATGGCGTACATCTTCTCTGTGTCCCTCTTCTGCACGATGCACACCTGGGCACGGAGGAGAAAACAGTCAGGAGCACGTCCCACATCCACATCTGCTCCTTTGGGAGCTGAGAGCACTCTGCTCAGCACCTCACCCCCCACACATCCCTGATCCTTAGGCTGACACTCGTACCTACAGACACCAGCATGCCTGCTCTCAGTGCTGTGCCTGACTGGGGAGTGCGTGGGCTCTGCTCCAGCCCACTGCCCATCGGATGCTGCAGCTGCCTCCAGGGCATGATGGCTGGTCTGGAGAGCTTTCCAAAGGGACAGCGCTTCCAACAACTGTGTGGGAGCTGTGAGACACCTCTGGGCTCACTGTGCCTGGATGGAAAGCAGAGACAGGCAGCCACAGGGTTCCGTGCCAGCCTCGCTGCCCCGCTGCTCACAGCACTGCTCTGAGAGCAGCTCCCACCTGCCCGCACATTGCTGGGCTCCCCAAGGGGAGAATAATCCCTTTGGGCAGCAGAAAGTGACCAAAATGCAAAGTGGTTACAACAACAAAGACCTGGCCTGGAGGGATACCCAGGTCTGTCCCCGGAGCCCTGCTCTGCTGCGGGCACAGAGCCCCCAGGCTGGCACCGAGCCCCTGGGCTGGCACCGAACCCTGAGCCCCTGGGCTGGCCCTGCCGCCCCCTGAGCTCTGCTAATGACACCTTCATTACCAAGGTGACTGCTTTCCCAAGAGCTAATTAGCTATCACGGTAACTCTTTTTAAATTACTAATGGCATGTCTACATCTGCTATAATTATGCCTGCCCTCTGTTAATTATCAGCCCTGGCGGTAATTAGGATGAGCTGGATACGCTCCCTGGGCAGCTCGGCCAGGGTGAGCAGGCAGAGAGCGGGTCCTGCTTACACTGAGTGGAACACGGAAAGGGAATTTCTGTGGGTGGCAGGGAACCGAGACAGGTGGGAGCCGCAAGCGCTCTGTGCCTCTACACGCTGCCACTAATAACCATGTGCAAGTGCTAATGGTGCTCGGTATAATATCATCAAGGACACGCTGCCGCCAGGAGGTGACAAAATAATGGGTGGTTATCGTTAGCCTGATATACCCCCTAATTAGCGATGCACAGGAATTACCGCGATTATTTTCCGCCGTCGTTACAACTGCGGTGAGAGCTGAAAATCAGCTGTTGCCATCACTCTCTGCACACCTCAGAGCTCACGACAAGGGCACCTCGTGGGCACAGTGACCTGAGCTGTTTCCCTGCGTCTGGACCCCTCCGGTGCCCATGGGCGAGCAGAGCCCTTCAACTCCAGCTGCCACAGACTGTTCCAGATACAAAACATAAGGGAAAACCTTCTTCATGCAACTTAATAATAATAATAATAAACGACCTACCACAATGCACACCACCGGCAGGATCCAGCCCCTGCCTAGAGCAGGCTGAATTGGTTGCTCGTTCAATAAACCAGGCAAAAATATATTTTATATATTCTTTGAGCAGCAAAGCCCTAACAATTTTCCTTTAAAACATGGTCATTGCTGTAGAACTGCTCTGAAAACAATCCAGTCCTCTGGGTAACAGCCATCAAGGCGCTGAGCAACATTCTCCCCTGATGGCAGCTTATTCCACATTATTGCTGGAAGCTCATTAATTTCTAGGTCCTTTATTTTTTAGGTTATGACTTGCTGTACCTTAATGAGTATTACATGTTATTCTGATGTCATTTGTCTCTTGTTTCTCCACAGTGAAAATGGGAGCCCAGCATAATGAATGAGAAAATGATGAAAACTTCATGTACTCTGTAATTATGATAAACAGTTTTCTGCAATGGAACAGCATCACCTCCACGCAGAGCAGCACCAGTTCCGGGCACTCTGGGAATGTTTGTTCTCTGATTTCTGTGGGAAAAGTGGATGTCAGTGGAGGGGCTGTCCTGCAGCTGAGCCCGTGGCGTGATGCTTACAGACATGCATCAATGTGTTTGTGTCCCCCAAAATGCTAGTGACACAAAACGTATCTTTTTCTTTTTGTGCTTCTCTGTTCATGCATCAGTTCCTGGGGAAGGAATAAACAACTTGAGACTTGGTCTCAAGTCAAGAGTGCGTTTTTTAAATTAATCCATTTTCAGGCAAGACTACAATGCAGAGCTAGGCAAGAAGCAGAAATGACTGTGTCCTCGTTCTGCACATTGCAGCCACACAAAGGCAGTGTTTGGTGGTTAAATACAGCCATTAGGAGAACGAATGGAACGGAGCCAGCCCTGCGAGGCAGAAGGCGGGCAGCAGCTGGGAGCGGATTGCTCAAGACACGGCACATAAAAGCTTTCCCAGAG